ATTCTTTTCCTTGTAACCGACGTCTCCTACTGATTATCTTTCAGACCACAGTGTCACTAAAGCTCTATTATGACATGTTGGTCAAAATGTATCCTTTTACGCTCTTCAGAGCGGAGTGTGCATTGTTACAGTTCAGAACGCAGACCAAGCTCATGATCTTTCCCATTTAACTTCTACTGATAAAATTCAAAAGCCTGATACTCTGTGACTATATTTTAGAGCAATTAGCCCTCTAGGACCTTCTGATTCTCAGAGTGGATATGTATGTCCTGCCCTCTCGCAGGCAGAGGTGCTTTCCCAGTAGCATCGTCTGCTTAACCAGAACATCGCCTAGGGATCCGTAAAGTGGTCCCTACATCCCCAACAGTGTCAAAATTGTTGGTGCATTGGACATTCAGCTAAATACTGCTGGTCTGTGGTGGAGTGCCTGGTCTACGGTGCCGCGAATCATGCCAATACATCTTGCAGTCTTCCACCCTCTTGTCTTAATTGCAGTGAAACTCTCCCTTCTTTTTCCTGCTGAGTCAGGTCTATCTTAATGAATGTGAAATTCATTGTCTTAAGGAGAATGAGGGCCTTAATTGTGCTATGGATGTCTCTCGGCTCTGCTTTCAGGGGAATCATCTTTGTGTTACTTATTCTCATGTAGCTAGGAGACCTCCACCCTTGGCAGTCATTCCTGCCTACCAGCTCCTCCAGTGCCATGTCTTCCAGAGTCACCCCCATCTATAATTCTTTCGCGGTTTAGCCCTCTGAACCCCCCCTCCCCCCACCTTACCTCTTCCTACATCAATTTCTTCATCTTCCTGCCTGCTAGTTTCTCAGTCTGCGAGGCCATACACGCCTGCACCTTCTTCCCGCCTATCACCTGCAGAGTTGAACCTGTCTCCTGAGCCAAGTCTCTTTACATTCCTCCGGTGCTTAAAATTTTTCAACAGTTCTCCTTTTCGGCCTCAGTGCCTAGTTCTCACCACTTTTCTAACTCTCACACGAAGGTGGAGGTTCACCCCTCCCTGTTTACCCCAGACTTTCTCCAGCCTCCTTCATCTCCCATTCCCCCCGTAGGTTTCTTTTGTCCCCACCGGTGCATCTCCAAGTTCATACTTCCTAATCTTCACTTGCTCTCCCTCAGCTGTCTCTGAAGTCATGGTATCGGCATCTTCTTTGTCCACTGAAACACTTTAAGCTATTTCTGACTAAACTGGGGAGACGAAACACTTGGTCACCGTTATGCCCCATAATGTGTCTTCTTATTTTTCACAACCTAGCAGCAATCTTTTCCTTTACAGTATTCTGATGCCTCCCTGATTACTCGCTTTCAGTTGCCTCCACACATTGACTTCACTGACTCTACTAGCCTGTAGATTTTATCGCTTCTCATTGTTGGAGTACCTAACTTTGTGAATGATTTATTTACAAAGGAATATTCGTGGCCTCAGGGGTAATCGAGGAGAGCTACTGGTATTGCTCTCCCAGTTTTCCCTAGTGTGTGTTTGGTAACAAGAGCCTGAAGTTCGTTCAGCTGTTATCTGTCCCATTTCGGGCTGTGCGCTGTTGCATTCTTCTGATCGCTTTCCTGATGAAAATTATAATGAGAGTGCCCTTCTTGTGCGTGTTCGTGTACCGTTTCAGCTGGTCTTTGCTCGTTCTTTGCTGCATTATACTACAGCCAATATTTATTTGAATAGTTTGCTCTCTACATCTGTCCCCTTCCCATGCATTCTGAATCCCAGATGTTGCATTCTTAATCTCTTCTCTGCTGCCGCCCGTCTTGCTGGGTGACTTAACGCTCATCATCATCTTTGTGGAGGGTCTCACTGTGACTCGTGGTGATCAGTTGGAGACTTATCACTTCTCATCCTCTTCACGTTTGAAACACGGGTGCTGCCACCCATTTTGACTATCATACTCATTCTCTTGCATTGATCTTTCTATCTGCTTCTCATCAATAGCATTGGATTATGCATTGTCTATTCTCCAGAATAGTGATCATTTTCCTATTCTTCTTTCTTCTACTATGTATTCCCCACCTCCTCAAAGCTCCCGCTGGCAATTTGGACGAGCGAATTTGGATTTATATCACTTTTTCTGAGGATCCTTCTTCCCCCTCAACTGAAGAGCTAGTGCACCAGTTTTCGATCTTAGTTTTGACTGCAGTGTCAAGTTCTATTCCTCAAACCTTAGGCAGGCATTCTTAGACATGCATGCCTTAGTGGTGTCCTGTGTGCGCCTGTGCAGTGCACTTGAAACGTGCTGCGCGACGCCGTTATTGACATAATTGGACCACAGATCGTCTTCTGGATTTTAAGCTGGCGAGGGCAGTCACTCACTGCATCATACGCGATGCTAAACGCACTTGTTGGCAAGACTACGTTTCTACTGTTACCTCAACTTTCCCTATGTGTGCGGTTTGGAAGATGGTATGGGAGATGTGTGGCAAGTACACTCCTGATTCAGCTCCCGTTTTGCGGGTTGCTGGTGTTCGTGTTACGGAACCTCTTGAAGTTGCCATGGAAATCGGGAACTATCTTGTCCGTGTCTCCCTAGAGCATCACCTCTGACTCACTCTACTAAGTCTGTGAGGTTTGTCGGGTCCCTATTTTGGTTAATCACTTTCTTATGAATGGTCCGGTTTATCAGCGAGATCGCAGGATTTACATCCACCAACGTCGCCGCCCTACCAATCTTACCTTATCTTACCTTCTTGTAGACGACTCTGCCTTTGACTTACGATCAATTTTTTTGAGTTTTTGTCAGCAAGTGCTTTACTATGCGAACTTTGACAGCCCTTTCCTCCTCTCACCTCTGATCCCCTCTCCACCTAGCTGATTATAGCCCTAGCAATGTTTTCTGCCCTGCATTGCTGCACGATCCTTGTAGGTTTAGCGCTTTATTTGATTATAATAATTAGAAAGGACTTTATTTTAAATGAGCTCTTGCTAATTGACCAATTTTACCTATTTCGGTACGACATGCATGTACAGTATGTGTGTGTCTCGCAGAATAGGTAAAAGTGCGATTTTGCCCTAAATAGCAAGGCTCTTCTTGCCGAATAAGGCAAGCGAAAATTTGTGCATGCAATAATTTCTCAAAAATCATTCTGAACTTAACGAAAAAACTATATTTCATTGTGTTTAATAAATTATTGTAAACTTATCTAAAATATATTTAGCTGGATTAGGCTAAATTTAATTATTATTATTATTATTAAAGATTCGCCGGTATTCTCCCGGCCCGGGCCTTTTCCAAGTGGTGGCCCGGCCTTGGCTCCCTCTTTAGGGAGTGTCTGAGACCTAAGTCTCCCATGGGAGGAGGCACAAGTACCTCCTCATCTTTGGGACCAACTGTCCCCAGGCCTAGCCACAAGCTAGGCCTCTCTGGTCTGCCATCCCCGCCCCAAGGGGGCAAGTGGGAATGACAGTCTTATGAGCTAAAGGCTCGGGCTCAGGCACCTACCCTACCCTAGAAGGGTTAGGCATGGTGTCGATGCTAAATTTAATTGCGCTTGTTATAATAAGGTTACGCAATTTTTTACGGTACTTTTAGTACAAAATTTTTATATTAACATAAATGAAAAAAAAAAAAAAAAAAAAAAAAAAATGAATATGAGAAAATTTTAGTTAGGTTCGGAAGATTTTTGCGAAATTATTGCATATTAAAATTTTCACTTGCCTTATTCGGGAAGAAGTGTGTTGCTATTTAAGCCAAAATAGCAAGTTTTACCTATTCGGCACGACATTATATATGTTTATATTTAACTAAATTTAATGAACATTTGTCACTGTTCAATAATATCGTACGTGGAAAAAGAAACTCAGCTAAAGCGGATCCCAGTAGGAGGCTGAAATATACAAATCAACTAATATTCTGAGTTTCTCTCTGTTTGGGTTATAAATGAGCGTATATATATATATATATATATATATATATATATATATATATATATATATATATATATATATATATATATATATATATATATATATATATATGTGATTGTGTGCTTGATTGTGTGTGTTTGGGTGTGTGTGTGTGTGATTTTGTGCGTGTGAGATTGTGTGTGTGATTGTGTGTGTATGTGTTTGAATGTTTTAGGAAACAATTGAATTACAGAATATTGAGGTATTATCTGGTTTACTACAAACGAAGTTATCTTAGTGATGGCTTAATTGCTGTTGTCAAGCGTTGCTCATTTGCTGTAACAAAATACATGAAGGCACAACGATTATAGACGGAACTTAATCCTTTAAGCTGGACGGTAATGAATATACTGCCAGAATTTACGTGTTTTAGATTATACATAAACTGAATATAACATCAGAACACAGCCTGAAGCAGGAGACGTGTTGAGCGTGAGGGGTGGGAATTAGATAACTGAGTTAAGTGCTTGTTAGGTAAATACTGGAGGAGGGCGTGTCAAAGTTCACAAATATTGAGATAAGCGAGTTTAAACGTGTTAGCATAGAGAAATATAATTTCTTAATAGAATTAGGCCTTTCAAGTTTAGCGTTTATTATAGACTTAATGGAAATTGAATATTAACTCTAAAGTTTGTGAAGACTTTCAACAAAGAAACTTTAATTAATCAGACGTTTTACCCACTGAATATTAACAAGTTGATAAATAGCATTGTTAGTGAAATGTGAGAGTAATATAATTTTTTCAAGTGTCCTTCAATCGCCATCACGGGTTTAGCGCTATGATTATATTAATAAATTAAGTCACCATCTGTCTCTTCACAGTTATTCATTACCATAAAAAATTTACCTTATATGAAATTATTTATCCAATAAATGCTTTAAACAGAATTTATTTGTTCTTGACTACACAGTAAAATCTTTAAAAAAATCAATAATTGGAAGATAATTAAAATAATTGATGTTAACCATTCCTCTCAAGATCTGACAAGACAATAAAGGAACATTGATTATATACGACACGAGATAATGCACTCCTAAATTATTTTAACACTGAACTAACTTTTGCATATTTTGTTTCAGAGAACAATCTCTTTAATTCCTCCAGAAACGAGAGAGAAACTGGAAGATTTACAGGTTAACTGGGCGCAGCGGACTGCAGAGTGAAGCAATCGTTCAGTGGTGGTGTATCACTAGATTCTCCAGTTCTGTATCGCGGGGTTATACGTCGAGCTTCTGCTCACGTATGTAAGCTGCTCTCGTTGATATGAGATTATTAAGAAAAAAATTAAGATGATGATGCCTTTATCTTCTCATAATATCTTCAACTGAAAAGTCAGTTAAATTAAGATGTTTTTAACTCTGTACAATATGAGTGTATGTATCTAAGTGTATGAATGAATATTGTTTTTAATATATTATATAATATATATAATATATATATATTTATATATATATATATAATTAATATATATATATATATATATATATATATATATATATATATTATATATATATATATATACATAATTTTTTTTATTTGGGGTCCACCTCTGGTGTAAATTGTGGGACCCATAGCCTCGGAGAAGTGGATAAAAGGCTTCAAGGAAGAATATTTGATTTCTTCCTGAAGCCGTTTGAATATATATATATATATAATATATATATATATATATATATATATATATATATATATATATATATATAAAATATAATATATATATATATATATATATAAATTTTAATAAACTGCATTTTACTAAAATTCTTTCCTTCACTGATATCTTTTTCTTTCAACAAACCGGCCGTATCCCACCAAGGCAGGGTGGCCCGAAGAGAAAAACAAAAACTTCTCTACCTTGAATAATGTATACAGGAAAACGGGTTACTAGCCTCTGTCCCGCCATTTTAATCGACACGCATGGCTTTCGGAGGAAGAATTCTGTTCCACTTCCCCATGGAAACAGAAAATAAATAAAAATAAGAACTAGTAAGGCTTACTAGTAAGGCTGATGCATGCAGGGGATGAGATGAAAAGCTGTAAGCCTTCTCCCTGAAAGCTGGCTGCCTTGGATCAAAGTCTAGCGCAAGCTGGACTCCAAGGTATTGGTCCAGTGTGGGTAGATTGGTAAAGCACTGCGTACCTTCTTCCAAGGTTCGTAGGTTCGAGTCTCCTTCAGCCAGAGATCAGTGTTTGTGTATATTTCGCCTGCTGGTATGTTGAAAGAAAGAAGAAAGATATATATATATATTATTATATATATATATATATATATATATAATATATATATATATATATATATATATATATAAAATATAATATATATATATATATATATTGTGTGTGTGCGTGTGTGTACATGCATGTTAGTGTGACGTAAATGTAATTAGAAGTAGCAAGATGTACCTGAAACCTTTCATGTCTGAGACAAAAAAGGCACCGGCAATCCTACCATGATGTAAAACAGTTACAGGTTTCCGCGTCACACTCGGCAGGACGGTAGTACCTCCCTGGGCGGTTGCTGTCTACCTACCGGCTACCTCCACTTCATTAATATATCAGGAAAAAAAAATATAAATACAGTATCTTCCAAACAATGGTTCTCTCTTCTTTGCAAATACTCTAGAAACCTTCTGGCATCATTGCCAACTCTTGCTTTCTTGTCTTGAGAGACTTTGTGCTGGTCATTTGTCACATAATATGCACCAGTGACTTCTTGCATTGCACCACTTAGCATGCTGGCAAGGATACAAACCACTGTCTTGCCGGGACTCATTCTTCTACCTCGTTTTAACTCTGTGGTTTTGATGGCTCTCATGTGCACTTGCACTATCACCATTTCTGATGACAATCCAGCCCAGCATCAGTCACCCATGAGAGTCAGATGTGCTCGTTGCCTATGCGATTCGATAAAAAAAAAAATTCCCAGTATTCCATAACTCCAGTCCATGAGATTAGTGCAGTATGACAAAAATTTATAATGCCGTTAAAGATTTGAATGGAATCAGAAGTATTCGCTGGTTATCGTATGGAAATTAATCTCTCTAATTTCTTCAATAACAAGAGTAAGTTAGGATATTGTGCAACCCAAATCTAATAGAAAGATTTCAGAGACCCGAAATGTAAACTAAGTAGTTAAATTGTGCTTGAAGCCTCTCAGAAATCCGCTTCAACCCTTCCAGCCTCTCAGAAATCCTCTTCAACCCTTCCAGCCTCTCAGAAATCCGCTTCAATCCTTCCAGCCTCTCAGAAATCCGCTTCAACCCTTCCAGCCTCTCAGAAATCCGCTTCAACCCTTCCAGCCTCTCAGAAATCTGTATGGAAGAGTTGAACCTAATCAGATGCGACACTCAGAAATTATCCCATGAAAAGCAATATTTAAATGTAAAGTTTTCAAAGAAGCAAAGCTTTTCTGCAAGTAATCTTGATCAGCTTTCCACAAAGTAAAAACAGTAAGTTTTTAAGAGTGATCTTGAGGACACACATGTTATACACACACAAAAGAACATTAAATTCATTTAACCTAGAATAAGTAAATTAAGTCAATTTGTGTTTGTTCCTCTTTTATCTCTATTAAAAAAGGTTTCCTTGTCTCTCAAAGCCAAATCAAGCTGGTTCTTTCCCCTCGTTGTTTCTGTCACAAATTGCTGCTTCAATATTCACTGAAAATCCTCTTTCATTCTGCCTGCATTTGGTATCCTCGAAAGCCCACAATATCGTTACCCTGATAATTCACATTGCCCAGTTTTATTTTAAGATATTTTAGACATATCCTACAAAAACCCATAACTTTAATTATTTTCAGTTAAAAAGCTCTAACAGCTGCCTCCACAGAGTTAACTAACGCCTTCACCATAGTTAGGGGTAAATAAACCTCATTCATTTTTGCCACAGAAGTGATCCCAATTGTCGATAAATTGTACTGCAATATTATTGGTGTTTGTCCGGCCAGCAAATAACTGACCTGAACAACCATTCACTTCCATCACCACTCCTCTGCAAGATGTTATGTATTACATCCTCTTCAAGGGGAGCTCCTTGGCGTGCTGAAGAGGCTCTTGGTCTGAGGAATTAGACCTGTCGGTCTTCTTCCTCAGACCGAACCTAATTACCCCCCAATCTCCCCTCCCCTATCCCATCCTCCCCATCCTCCCCTTTTTCCTTTCCTCCTCCTCCTCACCACCCCTCCCTTTTGCCCTTCCTCTTTTTGTCCTTTGGGATTTCTCCCACAGGTGCGCTAGTTCCTAGGTAGGGGAAAGGATACCGGGGTCCATCCCATTCCGTTGAGGTTCTTAGCGGTGGCGTAGTTTGCCGTGGAATCTGGATCGCCTGGGGATGTCCCGATCCCTCTCCGGTATCCCGGAGTAGCTTTGGGTGTCTTTTGGGCGACGAGTGTATCTCTGGAAGCCACCTTTCGGATTCCGGGGGTGGTGGCCGAAGAGGTATGCTTTGTGGCGGATATCCGCCACCCCTCCTTTTGTCCACCGAGGTAGCTCGGCAGATGTGAGGTTGCTATCCTGGATTGTTAGTTTACTAGCATGATGGGTAGGGTATGGCACGGGTTCCATGCTGCATCTGCGCTACTTGCGGTGCTGAGGTCCTCTTGGACGGAGGAGATTTCTGGCCCTTTCATTCCTCCTAGGAACTATCCCTCCCCGGTCCCCCCTTTTTTTATTCTTTTTTTTTTTATTTTCTTTTCTTTTCTTTTTTTTCTTAAAAACAAAAGAAAGAAGTAACCTAACCATGGCAGCCCTAGTCCATAAACCTGGTACCCCCGGGGGCCCCTTCTTGATTACCGCACCCCGTTCTGACCCGCCTCGTCTTTGGACCACTCTTCAGACATTCCTCATGCCTCTGTACCTATTGCACGGTGCTGTTTCCTCACCCGCTTCAGGTACTGAGGCCTCGACTGACTCCTTCGATTTATCGGACCTTCGCTCTCCTCTGACTATGCTTCCGGCCTCTCCCTCTACGGTGCGGCAATTTTCAAATCGCCGACCCGTTTCCACGTCGGACCAACTCTGGCCCACTCCTAAACGCCAACGACAATTACCCTGCTGATGATACTTCTCCACCTTCTCGTTCTTCTCAGAAACGATCGACACGTCCTTCACTACCTTTCCCACGCTCAGTTTCAGACTGAACAATGGACTAAATTCTTCACTTTATGACCGACTTCCTCTACTACCTATCTTTCTGACCATAGTAATTGGCAAGGCACTCCTACGCCATGTTGGTAAGATATTTCTTTTCATGCTCTTAAGAGCGGTACGTGCATCATTACGTACAGAATGCTACCCAGGCTCATGAGCTCTCTCGTCTTTCCATATCGATACTATTCCTGTCACTCTTGAAAAAACTCCTTCCTCAATTCTTGTAGTGGTACCGTCATTCTGCCCCATACCATAGTTCACAAAATTTCCAGACATGTGGCACTGACATTCTTGAACAGCTGGAACTCCAAGATCTCCCAATCCTCAAGGTAGACACTTACGTTCTTCCTGCCCGTGGGCGGAGACGATACCCTAGCAATGTGGCTCGTTTAACTTTTACAGCCGAGAACTCCCATACCTCAGTTTATATAGCAGGACATCGGTTACAAGTTCGAAAGATGATCCCTACACCACAACAGTGTAGAAATTGCTGGCGATTTTGCCATCCATGCGAAATATTGCAGATCTATCGCCGAATGCCCAGTGTGGGTGCGATGACCATTCTAATACGTCTTGCAATCGATCTCCCTCTTGCCTTAAACTGTCATGAGGCTCAGCCTTCGTACTCTCGCCGTTGTCAAGTCTATTTAAACGAGCGGGAAATCCGTTACCTTAAAGAGACAGAAGGTCTCCCTTATGCCATGGCAGTTTCTCATCTCCGCCTCCAAGGGAGACTCCCACGTGTTTCTTATTCCCGTGTTTCAAAACGTCCCCCCACTTCTGGTATCCCATCTTCTACACCCACCTCTGTGGTTACCTCTCCCATAATCACTCCTGTATCTAATCCTTTTGCTGTCCTCGGCTCAGACGTCCCTACTTCAACGCCTCAGTCTAATCTCACTTCTTCGAATTCTCTCTCAGAAGCCTCAGTATCGACGAGACCTCGTACGACACCTCCTCCCAATCGTCCCTCTACTTCTCAAAAGTCAAAAAAAGGTCCGTTACCACCTCCTACCCATCTTCCACCTCCTTATTTTACCCTCCCTGTCTCTGTCCCAGGTTCTTCCCCTCTCACTGGCTCAGTTACAAGTGTAGAGGTCCACCCTCCTCCTCGTACTGTACCTTCCTCCCCTGTTCCCTCCCAAGTTTCTTCTTCTGCCACCTCCCAGGTTCCTGCCTCTTCTGTCAACTGCCACGCTTCCTCAGTTCCCTCCACCCTTTCGCCCCCCCCCTTA